TGTTTTAAGCCTAAGGCTCAATGGACAGGTTCAGCTGCCATATCAAGATTTGTTACACTACTTATTCAAGTTGTTATCCTGTGTTGATCTATCTCATGGTCTCTTTTTAACACATGTCAGATGAAACATTTTGTGTTGTGTAACATGTGAAGCTTTTCTACACCTCCAATTTCCTCCTCAGATTGAAGATTGATTGCAGAGTTAAAACAAGCTCTGGCATTTAGGTTACACACAGGAATGTGTGTACGTCTATCTTGTGTCAGAGATCTAAGTTGGGCTTTTTTTTTGTTTTCTTAGTTTTTGTTCTGCTCCTATGACTAAGCTTGTTATTTCCTCTGATGCTTACCATCAGTCTCCTCCTCTGTTGTATTTTATATCAGAATTTCAGGTGCTTCTTGTATTTCTTTTAGTATTCTTCCACCGTTTTAACCCTTACTTCCAACCTTTGTATAGCTTGCACAGAAAAAAACTGCATACCCAAAAGCCTTTGCCTAGAAATATAACTTTATAAATCCGACATGCTTGTGATGTTTCTAATTTGAAAACTAATATCTTCTCATTTCTGGAGATATGTGTACAAACTCTGTAAGTTTTACACAACCTGAGCTATTTTACTTCTAATAAGGTGATTTTTTAGTATTTTATATATTGGGTATAATTCTTAGTTGACCTCTCCAACTCAGTAAACTTGGTGTTCATGTGGGCTACTTCATAAAATTTCAGATCTCTATTCATAAGCATCTTAAAACTGTGGCCCTTTCTGTATGCAAAAGGTCTATTTGGCATAAATAATCAAAATTAGAAGTGCCATACGGGATTATTCAAATTTTAATGACCAATTCAAACAAAAAACAATAAGAATCTATACGTAGCTTTACACAATTTAAAATGCATGAATTTTTCACACAAAAACCGATGTGAACAAATCTTGAAGAAACAGTTTTTGCAAACTTATTTTTATATTTACACATTACATTGATAGCTACTTATTAGATTTTTTTCAAATGCTTGATTGTTTTATTCTTGATTTATTTTTACTCATGTTATTTTTTTATGGATGTCTTTTCTCAATAAAATTCTAGCTTGAGATAAAAGGACACAATGTAGCTCCTCTTTCTCTTTTTTTTTATTTATATTATGGTGCTTCCAGTGGTATATTTTGATGAAAACACAGAAGTACCACAAAAATCAGCACTTTCTTCCAACCAGATTCCATTTTATGAGACAAGAAAAAAAACATTTGGCACAGTTTTGGTCACCTGTACTAAAATCAAAGATCCGCATGCCACACTGTTACAGTGGGGCAAAAAAGTATTTAGTCAGCCACCAATAGTGCAAGTTCTGCCACTCAAAAGTGAGAGAGGCCGGTAATTTTCATCATAGATATACCTCAACTATGAGAGACACAATGAGAAAAAAAAATCCAGAAATTCACAT